TTTATTTATGATTTATAATTTTATTTTATTATTACATAATAAATTACTCAAAAAGAATATATATTGTATTATATTTTCTTCAAAAAAGATACATTTGATTTTTTAAAGATAAGAAAAAATAAAGAAATCAGTTAGAAAACCACTAAAATATCACTTCTGAAAGGCTTACCTTAATATATTCCTAAAGAAAGTAAAGAAAAAATAAAAAAATCAGTTAGAAAACCACCAAAATACCACCTCCAAAAGGCTTACCTTAATGTATTCCTAAAAAAAAAAGTAAAGAAAAAATAAAGAAAACAGTTAGAAACCCACCAAAATACCATTTCCAAAAGGCTTACTTTAATGTATTTCTAAAAAAAGTAAAAAAAAATTAAAGTAAAAAAGGTTAAAACCCATCCAAAAGTACCCTCCAAAAGGCTTACCTTAGTTTCAAAAAGAGAAATTTCCTAAAAAAAAAAAGAGTTAAAAACCATCTAAAAGTTACTTCCGATTTGCTTACCTTAATTCCCAAAATAAGAATTTCTTAAAAACAAGAATAAAGAAAGGAAATGCCACAAAAATCATTTTCGATTCGCTTACCTTAATTCTAAAATAAGAATTTCCTAAAAAAATAAAAAAAAAGAAAGGAAAAGGTTATTTTTCGAAAAAAAAAAAAAATTTTTTTCAGAATATTTCGAAAGTTAATCAATTTTATACTATAAACTAAACTAAAATTTCAATTAATCTGAAATTTAGACTATTTATCATAAATGTTACAAATGGATGATTTTGCATCATCTGATTGCAAAATCAACTGAATGATAACAAAATCATTCAAAAGGAGCGATATTCAATCGTTTTTTAAGAACAATATAAAAAATCGTTCTATTGGAATGATAGTTTGATCGTTTCTTAAGAACAATAAAAAAAATTATCATTCTTTCAGAACGATGATGTATCGTTTCAATAGAATGATGAAAAAATCATTCCAATAGAACGATGAAGTATCGTTCCGAAAAATGATAAAAAAATATTGTTTTTTTCAGAACGATGATGTATTGTTCCTTTAAGGACGATTTCTATCATCTCTTTGGGGAAGATTGTTTGTTCCTTTGAGACGATTTTTATCATCTCTTTGGAAATGATATTTGTTCCTTTAGAGACGATTTCTATCGTCTCTTTGAAGACGATTGTTCGTTCCTTTTGAGACAATTTCTATTGTCTCTTTTAGGAATGAATGTATCATTCCTTTTGAGACGATTTCTATCGTCTCTTTGAAAACGATATTTCGTTCGTTTTGAGACGATTTCTATCATCTCTTTTGAAACGAATGTATCGTTTCTTTGGAACAATTACTCTTGGAATGTTTTTATAATTTTCGCAAAAATCAGCTCAACAGATTTCGACCAGTGAGATATAGTCAATTTGTTGCTAAATCTTGAATCTAACTGAAATTTTGCTGAATATTATAACCGAAAGGTCTTAATGCCAAAATAATGCTAAATTATGTATTATGTAATAAATTACTATCGATTTTTGTAACTTAAACCAAATTTTTTCTGAATCACATGATCGAATTAGCTGAATGTTTACCAAAAGGTATTAGTGTTGAAATAATGCTAAATTATGTGTGATGTAACAAATTACTATTGATTTTTGTAATTTAAGCTGAATTTTTGCCAAATCACATGACTGAATTGGCTGAATGTTTGTCTGAAAAGTATTAATGCTGAAAGAAATGATTTCGACTAGTGAAATGCATGTGATATAAATACGTCAGAAAGAAAAATAAAATCTAAACCAAATTCTAGAAAAGAATAAAAAGACCAATTTAACTAGTATTTAACCTTAATGTTTTTTATATATATGATGATTATAGCCTGAGATATCGACATACCCTCTCTCACAATCACACCAAAATTTTTTCTTTGGAATAAAATAAATTCATCAATTTCATTAATTAATTCTCCAATTTTCTCTTCTTCATCTTTAATAACATTATTCATATTAATCCTTATAGAATCAAGATCTCTTTCAATAGCTTCATTAGTTAAGTCTTTTGATCTTTGGACAAGAATTCCTTGCTTTCGGAAGAAGTTGATGAATCAACTAATATCTGTAATAAAGTAGGTAGTTATTGTTGAATTTCAAAATCACACAAATTATTATCACTAAAGGAATAATACCCTTATTTCTTTCACTTCATTTTCATCCTTCTTACTTGGAATTTGATGTTGCTGTTTTTGGCAACTCCTCAGCTAATTCGACAATTTTCTTTGCTAGTCCTAGACCTAAAGCACTTTCAAGAGATTTAGCATCGCCAAAGATCTGAAGGACTTGACAGTTGTCAGCTTTTTCGTTCATTATTTTGACCATAGGAAAAGATTTTTCACCAGGCATGATTAATCAATAATACAATTATTTTTCAAATTGTGAGAAACACTATTAGTATCGTGTTTTTGTCGTCGGCCAAGAAAAGGTGTGTAAATGTAATATATTTGCACCATCCGGGATAAGAGGTTTTACAATGGGGTCAAGAATTAAACGGTATATTTCCTTTCTTAGTAGAATTTATGACCGGGTTTATGATCATGTATATTAGTCCGCAGTAAATACAGGTAGAGATGTTAACGGTTCGATCTGGTCCGGTTCGGTCCGGTTTCATGTGGTCCAAGGGGTAAAACCAGACCGTGGACCGAGTTCAATAATTTTATGAACCGGTCTGTAACTGAAATTTAAACCGAAAAAATTTATAAAACTTTATTTTTAAATCGAAAAAAAAAATACCTTTTACAATTTTTATAAAAAATTTAAACAAAAAAAAAAAAAAAATACTATTCCAAGATTTTTTAATATTGTTTTTTCTTTTTTCAATGACCCAATTTCTCGTACAAATTATGGCTCTTTGATCATTTGATAATCTAATTGAACCAGTCTTTAAGATCTCGGTCCGTCGATCTGATCTCAGTCCTCAAACTGGTCCTATGATCAGGATCTCTAAATACAGGCAACTTTTTCTTGGCAAAAGTGTTTCCTTTTTCTGAACTGTACAACTGCACGATGACTGTTAAAATTTGGTACAAAATCGAAGAGTTGGAAGAGACTTCAATAAATTTCGAACAAAACAAGACTGTAGACGATCTAAAAAAAGCTATTATAAAAAATGAGCCTAGCGTTCTTAAGGACTGCACGTCTTCTGAAATAAATTTGAAAATAACAAAAGATGGCGATAGCAAAATTCATATAGTATCTCCAAGATGGATAATTCAGAAGGTGTTGCAAGAGCATGGAAATGACTTTTTATGTCTTATTTGCAAAAAGGGTAAATTCTTTATTTTAAATATACTTTGTATTTCTTTGCAATATGGTGGCTGATTAACTTGTATTTTTTTTTCGATTAACAGAAGGTATATCGAATAATGTAGATTAGTACTTCGAATATTCTAAACCTTACACCGTTTTTATAATTTCATTCCCAGAGTTCATGAGAAAAAGGAAAGCAACGGAAGGTAAGGATATTTGGTAGAAACCGTCATGACGATTTCATTTCGTCATTCCTTACAAATTCTGCTCTACGCCTTATAGTCCAAGACGTCAGCGCTCAAGTACTTGATGTTTTTAATAAAAGACATAGAGTGATGCTTCCTAAAGTTGACGAACTTGCTGATTTCCTTGAACAGCCTCTCCTAGACAATATGAAGATACCTATTCTCCAACATGAATACAACAGTTATTTGGTTCAAGGCATGGAAAATACGTGTACACCAGAAGACCTCAATATCTTATTCCGGATCAGCGATACTGAGGATGCTTACGAATTCATTACTAAGACGCTTAGCGCGCCAATTCGGAACAATCCACCTTCGCGCGAGGGAACTGAGTATTCCTTCGTCTCGTTTTGGGATATCAACATCAGGTTTCCTCTGGAACAATTTATTCCCGATGGCATTTCCATCCGAAACTCCTCTCAGAAGATGAGCACCTTTGGTAAACGGCCAGACTTTGGTTTCATCCTCAATCATGTTTGTCCTTTTAGGGGAGTGGAGAAATCGCTCATCAATAATGATGATCCAAAAGCTGAACTCAGAGACAAACTTTTTTGGACCTACGATCCAGCTCCATATGTTTTAGGTAAGGTCTCAAGTCCATTGCAAAATACGTTACATATTAAGCTTGATGTCTTGCCATCACAGGCTATTACGCCAACGGACCTGAAGTAACATTTGTCTCCATTTGCCGGCCTTCGTCTGGAGACAATCCAGATGTCATTAACATTGTGAAGTCAAACCTAAATCTGAGAAAGGATCGTATCTTGAATATGCGACGAATGATTAATCTAAGTATTCTCATCAAGTCACTTCAAGATGTGATTGGATGGCATGAAACACCTGAGTTCCGTCCCATTGAAAGGTGAGTTGAGGGAACTCGTCACTGAAATATTTTATATTCTGATGTCATTTTTTTCCCAACCATATGGCAGAGAGGATCAGACCGTCGAGGTGTGTGCCACGAACATTAAAAAGACCTTCACAAATCCTGAGAAATCCGATGCGCGTGTTGAAAAACTCAAGAATGTTTACGACATACTGACAAAGAAAAAAGTCCCAAATGTTGATCGACTTATTCATGCTGATAATGAGTCAGGTGTGGTGTATCTGGGGCCAAAAGGAATGAGTGTAAAGCCGAAGAATCAGAAGGAACTCATTGAAGCTGTTTTCTGTGTGCTCGAGACACTGGTGGTAAGTTATATTTCGGTAATTGTCAGATGAATGTTTGCTGAACACTTCTCATCCGTGATGTTCAACATAGGTTTTGCATGATGGCGACGAACCAATTTTCCATCAAGACATCCGGTGGCCCAACATTATTAAATTGCCTGGCGAACAATCGAAATGGATCCTTATAGACTGGGACGATGCTGATGGACCACCAACTCGACCAGTAAGTCATCTCGGAAAGGAGAATCATGCACCAGAGGTGTTTAAGGAAGGTCACGGTGGAGAAGTTGATATATGGAGCGTAGGAAAACTAATAACCGATGCAAATAATTGGATCATAGGTATTTCACAAGATATTATTGAATTTGGGGTACAAATGCAGAGTAATAGGCCAAGTGCTCATGACGCTCTGGAACTTTTCAGGCCTTTTACTCAATAAATGGCAAAAGATCGCAAAAATATTTTTAGAGTAAAAGCATAAATAGAGTTTATAGGTGTTTATGCTAGATAACACTATTGTTAACTTTGTAAAAATTAGAAACAATATGTATCATGGGGTTATATTGCAAGTTATTGATCAATTTGTATGCTAGTTCACGCTAAACGTAAATATATCTGGTAAAAATAATTTCAGATTATTGTGTGTAGTATACTGTATGTGCTTTAAACATTCTTCCAGGGAGGGATATTTTGCGTAAAAAAAAACTCGACCACTTAATTTTTAAACGCCATTTCATAAAGAACGCCGGAATTTCCAAGTCACGTAAATGCATAGAAACTTCATGTATCACGGGCTACGTCCCAAACTTTGTATTTATTTTTTGCGTTATATTAATAAAAATTTCTTAAAGAGTGCGTGAATTTTTTTCACGGAGTCACATGATTTTTATTTTTCACGAAGTAATGCGATTTTTTTACTTAAACATAACAAATAAAATAAATTCATCGCTAGAATGGATCATATTATATGTACTACATTAAATGCTTTTAAAGAGTCCTGGCCTGATATAGATACTTCCGTGTGGGATATTTTAGCCAGAAGAATTCGTGAATTGCTTTTATGCCCAGAATGTCACGAACCTATTTTCACAAATCCGCAACAAAAGAATATTACTATTCTTACAGACAGACGCATGATTCATAGTGTTTGTTTTGAATGTCCTGCTACTAAAGCCGAAGAAAAAAATGATGTTTCTCAGATCAAAGCTTCACAGGATACTAAACCCTCGAATCGTAATGCTGATATGGTTGAAGTTCCTATTATAAAAGAACAAGAAGTCTTAGAACCTATTTCTTATCCGGAAAATAGTATTTTGCATAATAATTCACGAAATAGTAGCTCTGCTGAGAATGATTTAATATCTGACTCCGAAATCAAACAGCAAACTCGAGACATCACTAATTTGCATGATGTGTGTTCTATTGAAGATATTTCTTCCGAGAAAGCCCCATTGGAGGGTAGAGAGATGGATGCTTTCTTGGATGAAGAATACAAGAAAAAGATTAGTAATGAGATTAGGCAAAGAAATAGGGAAAAAAAGCTTCAAGACTTGGATTTACCTGGTACTTCTGATATCCCTTCGGATAACACTTCAACAGAGCCATCCAATTTGTTACCAGAGGTAATCAGAATTCAGAATCATTCACAAGTTCGCATCCTATCTCTAATAATCCCGTCTTATCAGAACAAAATGCTAAAATAAAAGCATCTGAAATAGATATACAGCCTTTGATACAAGAATTGCTTATAGAACCTTCGAAAGAAGATTGTGTTAAGATTGTTAATGTCCTGCTGTTGATCAATCGCCTGCAATCGAATTAGTTTATCTATTTCAAAAAACGAAATTGGCTGAAATTAACACAATATGAGCCAAACAAGATGAAATCATGAGCTGGTATTGCTATAGAAAGTATTTTGAAAAAAGATAGTGAGATTTTACCTGGAATCCTAAAGAATGGACTTATTACGAATAAAAAAGCCTATGAACTTGCGAGTGGGCAGATTTATGATGAAATGCTACAGTATCTTTCAGGAGTCTCTCGTGTAAACTTGCGCAAAAAAACCCAGCTAACTAAGCCCATATATATATTATTTAGCGAAATTGAAGAAGATAAGATTATGCGAATCAAAACTTATAGTGCAAATAAACTCTCAAAGTTAACTGACGCGCTATTAAAAAACATTTTACAACACCGCGTGAAAAAAATTCACGCACTCACGTGACTTCAGAAATGATCACTAAGTAATGCAACTGCACTCACTAATTATCAAATCACCGGTCATCCCATATGATGCTCGTGCTCTCTATATCAATATGGCATTAAAGAATATCCTTATCTATCATTATACCATAGTGATGAATGAAATGATAGGTATGAATTTAAGAGTTCGGGCTCATGTCCATGGAGCATAGTAAAGGGAAGGTAGTTGGCCGATGCATAAAGGATTCTTACTATATTAAGTGCCGGTCCTCACCACGTGAAAAAGAAATCAAGATAAATGCTTCACCGGAAATGATTTCATCAATCACACATCAAGCAAGTAGAAATAATCCAACTTATGATCGCATCTCAACAAAACATTGGATCAATATCCTAATTTGTATAAAGAATTTAGTAGTGAAAATTTCGATTATTATGGCATTACTGATGAGATATCGTGCCCATTATGCAAGTTAGATCATAATGATGAAGAAAGTATAGAAGGTAGATATAAGATTGGATCCTATTTTATTAAATGTGACAGCGCGAAATTGAGATAACTGCATAGTCTCATTATTTTATAATACTATATTTGTTTACACCTCATTGTGATATTTTTTACAGGGCTGATTTATGTCAATTAAATTTAAATTGATTCATATAAAAAGCAACATGACCAGGTCTGATAAAATATTAACTCCCAAATATCTGGACTGGCATGCCAAATTAAGTGGGTTACCAAGTGTTTTGACGGATAAGATTCGTACCAAATTATACAAAAGATATAAAAAAGAAACTGGATGTGAACCATGGCAATTATCAGAAGCTGTGACAAGTGTATTAGCAAAACCTCAAACCTCCAATTTCAAGCCTATCACTTATTAAGCCAAACCCTATCCAGAATTAATTATTGATTCTGTCTTAGAGCATTTCACATACCTGAAATTCCGAAATAGTTTTAGGGGGATTGATAATTATAATTTTGCATTAGCTCAGCCATAGAACACATCATGCCTTATTTGTGATAGAAAACATGGAAATTATGGATTATACAGCGAATAGTATAGAAATGGAACAGAATATTATCTTACCTGCAACAGTTCAAGCAATAAACTCAAGTTTGCGATTGTGGCTTAGACCAGTCATGTGAGATCAATTACCTGAAAAATTGCATAGTATGAGATTAAGATATTTTTTTTTAGCTGAATTGAAATCAGCAAATTAATAGACATTAGGATTGCCATATTTGTTTCATGTTTTGTGACGATCATAGCATTCGGAAGCGATGGTTCTGCAGTCGCATTACGCAAAATCGATCTATGATTTGTCAATTTCTAACCCATGATGTAGCACAGTAAATTTTCCCAACTGTTAAAGCTATTCTGGCTTCCTATGATCCAAATACTTCACACCTTGACTTGTTTTGAAGCTTTCAATATCTTGCATCTGGTTGAATTACTTTGGGATTTCTACAACTTCTGGAGCATGTTTCGTAGGCGAATAAAGTTTCAATACTCATATAGTACAAATAATACATTAGAGGACTCATTGGGTAGCTATGAATTCTTACATAACAACTTATAAATTTCTCACCTCCTTTAGATTCCTAGGACAAAAAACTAGTATTTTGTAGGTTGTCAGATCATCATCACATCTCACGCTATTTTGGCAATATGGTCTCTTTGAAATTCATTCGTGATTATGTCCAAAATAATTGGCTTTATGATTTTCTGAATAATTATGCATCTAGTGATTGAATATTCACGAATTTTGGCTTGATTTAAGTTCAGAACATGCTGAATCCAGTCGTTTAATCCACATCAAAATTGAATCATTGGGTGATGAGATATTCGCGCATTATCAGGGAATTCTTTTTAAGATTTTTCTGACATATCCTACGCAGTAATACGCTATTACCGGCTAAAAATTCACTATTGAAAAGTTGATCTACAAAGAATTATTAAATGATCTACAGAAATTACTAGAATTAATTTTATGTCGATCACAAATTAGAAGATCTGCATAATTCCAGAATTTGATGATTCTGGGGATTTATAGGATTCTTAGGATTTACTGGATTCGTCAGATTATCATGATTCGTTAGATTTTCCTAATTCCCTTTATTTCCATTATTTTAATTATTATCATTATTCTTCTTATTTTTATTAATTTTATTATACTTATTATTATTATTATATTAATACTTGTAGTTACAAATTTAGTTAGTTTATAGCGTAGCAATTAGTTAACTTTAGCAAATTAAATTTGTATAAATAGAATAGCTTTTTGCTCAAGTTGTAAATTAACTCTATTGCGAGTTTTAGTTTTATTGTTTTATTACAAGTTCAAGTAATAAAGGAATCACTTTTAAAAACAAAAATACTTTTCCCTTCTATGTGTCTATCATCTAGGATTTAATTGTGAACCACTATACTAACTTGCGATTGAGTTCATCACTTAGAATAAATAAATTCTCTATGTTTTTTCTAAGTCCCTAAACCCTTAAGTTTGTAAACCAAGTAAAGTAATTCCAAGGTATTCCAGATACCTGTAGGACATAAGATTTTCTAAGGTTGTAAAGTCTGACAATAAGGAAGTTACTTACCGCAGCAAAGAAACTTAGATATATTACATGAAGTAATAAGAGAAGATTATTCCCAGTGATAATGCGCATGTAAATCATTTTAGTACATTTCAAGATCCCTTTGGGACCTGATCTAGCTGAGAGTATGTCATATATATTTTACTCAAAAGTTCCAAAAGTTTCAAAAGATATAGGTTAACCTTTTCTTTTTAGAACCTAGTGAGTAAAAAGGGTATTTTGTGAATCGTAAGATAGGGCATCATTAAAAAGAAGATCAAAAATGGAAATAGAGTGATTAAAATCTATGATTTACAGATTGCTGTATAGGATAAATGATAGATTCTTTATTACGATTTTTTAATAGGACATATTAACCATCTAGATAATAAATGGTAGATATACCATTACTTTATTAGTATAAATTTATAATATATCAGTTTAGCATTTAATCGTTATTTCATTGGATTTTCTTTTTAGCGCATTTTTTCTCCTGAAAAAAGGAGACCTATCAAATAAGCAGTATATTTTATTAGATAAGCTATGTAACACGCTATATCTTTGCAAATCAATTTACGTCAATACTCCTAATAATTTTATTTCTGAAATGGCTAATTTTTTACAAAAATAATTATGCAGATCTGTCTGATATTTTTTATAAATACCTTGCCTATTTTTTTCCTTTCACTCTCGATTCTCATTAAGAGAACATTCATTATATTACAATAGAGTTCTGAACAGGTCAGGTCAGGTCAGGTAATTGACTTGATTTGATCTGATAAGATCGGTTAGATCAGACATAAAATTGACCTGAATTAAATATACATTTGATCCGACCCGACCTGACCTGACTTGTCTAAAAAAGGAAACTAAACAATTATTAATTTTGTTTAATATTTTTTTAAAAAAATATAAAAAAATATTGATACA